ATTCCTGCGCCTTTACTTGTGTCGAGCTTTGAGGGTTTAATTTGCATTTTAATAAATGTAATTAATACTTTATTTTGCTGGGAAAATATATTAATTTAGCTAAAGATTTTACCCCTCCTTTATAAATTTACTGTTACTGTGTTTTTTTAATTTGCCCATCAGAATGGCATGAAAGATTGATACTGGTAAGACTGTCTATGCCACCTGTGTTTGTAAAGCCAACACAGTATATTTTAAAGGCAATTTTGTTCATTATAAATACCTGCTGGTGATTGTTTCCTGTTGATAGCAATAATTTTTAATTACTTTTTTTCACAGTGTTTTCTTAGCATTTGAATTTAAGCTCACTGGTCTCACTCCTAACTCTCTCACTTCCCTTTTTTAAAGCTGGACACCCCATGTGAAAACTTTTCTCGATAGGTTTTTCTACTAGACTTAAGAACATTTTTTTAAATTAAGTGGTTGATTCTTTTACTTCATAGTTTTTATTTCAACATAAAGGATATAATTTGTGCATGTCCTAAAATACTGCTTTGTTTTTAAAATATTCATAACAAAAAAAAGAGTGGTTCATTTGAGCTAAATAATTCCACTGACTGCTCTAAGAAAAAAAAAAAGTGTTAATAAATTTTCCACAGCTGCTGGGCAGCTGTGTAGGTTAAACCTTCCCTTTAATTATTTCTGTCTTTAAATTATTTGAGAAATAGATGAAGGAATACATTCTTCTTTTGAGTTCTGATGTCTTGAAAACATCAGAAAAATCTGTATTTGTAAATAGATTAAGAGGATGAAAGAACTTATGGCAGCAATTTTGCTTTTCTATGTAACTTTATGGTAAGAAATGAGGTTAATGGCAATAGTGGAAGAAATGGAAAAAGAGAGACAGAGAGCTGGGAAACTTTTATATTGACAATAATTCTGGATATCAAACTGTGTTATTGGGGAGGATAAACCATAGAGGAAGCGTTGTGGTTTAGCCCTGGCAGGCAGCTAAGCACCACACAGCCACTCGCTCACTCCTCCCTCCATCCATGGAATAGGGGAGAGAATCACAGCAGCCAAAGTGAGAAAACTCATGGGGTGAGATAAAGGCAACTTATAATTAAAAAATCGAAGGAAAAAACAAACAAACAAACAAAAACAACAAAAAGGGGGAGAAAAAAAAAATGCAAAACCAAGAAAAACAAAAGATGCAAAAGAAAACAGCTGCTCACTGACTGCTGCCCAGCCAGTCTCCAAGCAGGGACAGCCCCTGCAAACTTCCACCCTCCAGTTTCATTGCTGAGCACGGTGTTATGTGGTGTGGGACATCCCTGTGGTCAGTTGGGGTCAGCTGTCCCTGCTGTGTCCCCTCTCAACTCCTTGTGCAGCCCCAGCTTCCTCGCTGGTGGGGTGGGGTGAGAAGCAGGAAAGTTCTTGGTGCTGTGTAAGCTCAGGGATAACTGAAACATCCCTGTGTTATCAACACTGTTTTCAGCACAAACCCAAAACAGCCCCTTACCAGCTGCTAGGAAGAAAATTAACTCCATCCTGACCAATACCAGCACAGGGAGCGTGTAGAAGAAAAAGTAAGAAACATATTCTATGTAGACAGACTTGGTAGAAAAATATCACAGAATCATCCCAGAATGGTGGGGGTTGGAGGGGACCTCAGGAGACCATCCAGTCCAACCCCTCTGCCAAAGCAGGTTCCC